TGGTGATGGTGATGCTGGTGGTGGTGATGCTGGTGGTGATGCTGGTGATGCTGGTGATGATGGTGGTGATGCTGGTGGTGGTGATGCTGGTGGTGATGATGCTGGTGGTGATGCTGGTGATGATGGTGATGATGGTGATGGTGGTGGTGGTGATGCTGGTGATGGTGATGCTGGTGATGGTGATGCTGGTGGTGGTGATGCTGGTGGTGGTGATGCTGGTGGTGATGCTGGTGATGATGGTGATGATGGTGATGGTGGTGGTGGTGATGCTGGTGGTGATGGTGATGGTGGTGATGATGATGGTGGTGATGATGCTGGTGACGGTAATTCTGGTGCTGGTGGTGGTGTTATTAATGGCTTCCCCTTGTCTAGTACATACTGTGTGCCAACCACTACTCTAAGCACTTGAAATTTATTAAGTCATTTAATCTTCCCAACCACCTATGATATTATTTCCACTTTACAGCTAAGGAAACTGAGGCACAGAGAGACTAAGAACCTTGCCCTGTTTCCCCGGTGAAAAGGCAAAGGTGGGATCTGACCCCGGGCCATCTGGCTTCAGAGCCCATGTGCTTAGCTCTCATGCTGTGCCGCCTGACTGTGTGCCTGTAGATCGCCAGAACTACAACATTTAGTCTTTGCACTCACCGGGGCACGCGTTCCTTCATTTTTAAACAACACAGCTCCTATGGAAGCAGACCATTATCCTCCTCCAGAGACCATCAACATTTCAGCTGCTGGGACACTCGGAGGCGTTGTAGTGCCGCTGTTAAGAGTCTCTGGAGCTGAGTGGCCTGAGTTGGCTTCTCACTAGCTGGGTGACTTTGGGTAACTTCATCAACCTCTCTGTTTCAGTTTTCTCAACTGTAAAATAGGAATAATGATTATACCTACTTTGCAGGGTTGTTTCTGAGGATCGGATGAGAACATACAAATAAAGGTTTTAGAGCAGTCTGGCACTAAACATGAGCTATTCATGTGGCCTCATGTTCTCTTCCTATACCATGCCGTCTGTCTGGATGCGTAGAGGCGGGGTGGTGCGGGGTAACTGGACATTGCCCTTGTAGTCAGGGGGCCATTCCACTCAGGACTGCTGCAGAGGCTGCCGGGTCTAGATGTTTGGCTCTTTGGGTACAGGGTCTGGATGGGTTGAGTGTGTCGGCTGCCCTAGGGAGCCCCCCACAGGACCTCTGGCTAATGCTGTGGTCCCCGCTTCAGCTGAAGGAGTGGGTGCAGAAGCTCATGACGACCCTCCGGCATCCATCACTGCCGCTGCTGGAGCTGCAGGAAATCATGACCAATGTGTCCAGTCGCATCCCCGCCCCCGTGGAGAAGTCGGTCCGCAGGGTGATGGCCCAGTACGCCAGCAACATCACCTCAGTGCTGTGCCAGTTCCCCAGCCAGCAGGTGTGTGCCCCCCCTCCCCCGCCCGCCCCACTGGGGTGCCCGCGGGTGCTGCCCCAGGAACTCAACTTCTGGCCACACGGCCTCTGATCGAGCAGCCAAGATGGCACAGGCTGAGAGTTTCCTTTTGAGCCCTTCTCTACCGAACCCCAGCACCTTCCCCAACGTTGTTGAGATGAGCACGGTTACGTGGCCTTACTCCATAAAACTCGGATTCAGAATAGCAGTTAGCAGTTGGTACAAATACAGGGAGCATTTCCCCCAGCGTACCCGGGCTGAAACAGAGGCAGTTGTGGGTTCCAGGGTAGTATGAAATCTCTCTCATAATTCTATGTTTGCTTGATTTTGTGCTTTTTTTGTGGAGGAGGGGGTGTTGCTTTGTTAAGCATTTTCAAGATAATTTGCATTTGGAAGAACCTCCTCATTCAGTTTACCTTCTGCCCTCTGTCTGGTTAGAAGGGCTGCGTACCATTATCGTTCCCTCACCCACATGTTTGTGATTTGGGGAGCTACGCGTCAGCCTAGATCAGGTCACTCCTGGAGGTCAACTGCTCTAGAGGCTGGAATATTATTCCATCATAAAAAGGAATCTAATACGGATTTATACTACAACATAGACGTACCTTGAAAACATGCTAAGTGAAAGAAGCTAGTCATTAAAGACCACATGTTGCCTGATTCCATGTACGGGAAATGTCCAGAGGAGGCAAATCCATGGAGACAGAAAGTGGATTAGTGGTTGCCAGGGGCTGGGAGAGAGGGCTTGAGAGTAGCTGTGAATGGCTATCGGGTTTCGTTCTGGGGTGATGAAAATGCTCTCAAATTCGATAATGGTAAATGATTGCACAACTCTGAATATACTGAAAAGTACTCAATTAGTTGTATACTGTAAAGAGGGAGGATGCCTGGCTGGCTCAGTTGGTAGACCTTGTAGCTCTTGATCTTGTGGTCATGAGTTTGAGCCCCACATTGGGCGTAGAGCCTACTTAAAAAATGAATGAATGAATGAATAGGGGGAATACTATGGTATGTAAATTATATCTCGACTGAGAAATAACCAAAACAAAACTCTAAAGAACCCCAATTGAGAAAAGTCCCTGTTTGGACCTTTCAGGAATTTGTTGTTGGTACAGGTTTTTCATTAAAAATATTTTTTGTTGCCAAAAACAATATGCTAATAACACTAAATCTAGTTATAAAAACAAGACAGCCCCCGCCGCCAGGCCCGCTTCATTTTCCCTGGAGTTGGAAACTCCCTTCCCTTCCCCCAGACCATTCATATTTGTAGAGAGGAATAATATATGTGTCTTTACGGGATTGTTGTCATTCTAAGCTCAAATTCCTCAAGCAATATGTTGAGTGGTTGAGCGGGATGAACAGCTGTTTCTGGGTGTCCGGAGAAGGCTTTGGAGCTGAAATTTTCAGATTTTGAATGAGCCTTGGGTGGGTCCTCCATGGGAGCCCACAGTGGGTCCTTCTGGTGACTCCTTCATGGTGGTGACCAGATTGTGTGGTTATGAGTGGCCAGACCTGTCCTATGTGCCCGTCCAGATAGCCACCATCCTGGACTGCCACGCGGCCACCCTGCAGCGGAAGGCTGAACGGGAGGTCTTCTTCATGAACACCCAGAGCATCGTGCAACTGGTCCAGAGGTGAGTCCTCGGTCCTCCGTGGGGGGCGGTTGTCAGACTCATTGTCTGTGCATTATACCAATGCAGCACTCTGGGGCTCTCGCAAGGGCAGGCTCCAGCCAAGAGACAGTGCGTGGGGTCCAGAGACGCTGATTACAGTCCTGGCATAGCTATTCCTAATCCCAGAAACCCCAAGCAAGGCCCTTTTGTCCTGTGATCTCAGTTTGCCTGTCTGTAAAATGGGAATAAAAACTCTTCACGTGCAATTAGTTTTTCTGAGTTATGAGTGGATCAATGCTTGTAAAGTGCTGATATACAGGGAGGCCTTTCAGTAGCTTTGCCTGTAGGACAATGGGATGTGGTGGTTTTATAGGCCGTCAAGGACCCTACAGATTATCCTTGTGGTTTTGAAATCCTTGCAGAAGAGAGTTGATGAGGAATTTGTATTTTGAGTAGCTCGTGAGCAGGGAGAGCTATTCTGATGACAGGAAGAACTGCCAAGAGTTGTGTGAAAACTCTACCTCGCAGAGAAGCTCTGCTTATAAAGACAGAATTGAAACAGTTTTAAACTGGAGGAGATGAAGTGTATGCACATTTACCATGTGCTGGGAACAGAGGCACAGAGAGAAAGTAGGACCCTAGGAGACTGCCCTTCTTTTCAGAGAGCGCCTTGGCTCATGGGGACTCAGACTGCTCATATAGGATTGAGCTGAGGAAGGGAGTCTTAGTGTGGAGTCCCCACAAAGAGAGAGTTTCACAGCCAAGGGCTAGGAGGGGAGACCCTCCCCACTTTGGCCGCTAACCTTAAACCCACGCTTTAGCTTCAGAGAAACACCTAGAAGAAAATGAACAATCCCCTTGCAGATTTTTCTGTGTTAAACATAAATATAACAGCTCTGTTTTGTTTTTTTTTTTTAAGATTTATTTATTTTAGAGAGAGCATGCATGTGCACATGAGTGGGGGGAGGGGCAGATGAAGAGGAAGAGGGAGAATCTCAAGCAGATTCCCCACTGAGCATGGAGCCTGACGCAGGGCTCAGTCATCAATGCAGGGCTCGATCTCATGACCCTGAGGTCATGACCTGAGCTGAAACCAAGAGTCGGACACTTAACCGACTGAGCCACCCAGGCACCCCTCAAAGCTCCGTTCTATATAATTTTTTTAGATCACAGTTGAATAAGTGCATGTTCTTTCTTTTGTTGTCAGTGACTCTGGGGTTAAACTGGTCTTCATGGCCTGAAAACTCAGTGTCATATCACTTAAGAAACTCAGTTTCCTACATGCAGAAGTGATTTAGAAGAGATGAAATATCTTAGGGAACATCCAGGTTAAAATTTGGTTTTTAAAAGGGAAGTGAAATTTACATAGGTATCTATTGATATACGTCTTTCGAGTTTCGTTTACTTATCTTTCAAACTCTCTTTATACCTAGGATGGTTCATTGATCATTTTTGGTATCAACCGTATATGCAAGGCTGACCCTTTTCAGCATCCTGTCTTTTCTCTCTGGGGATGGGCAGGTGCCATCCAAAGGCTCAGACTTGGACTCTGGCTGGATGTATGACCTTGGGCAAGTCACTGCTGTCTTTGGCCTACAGAGTTAGTGCAAATGATCCGACTCACACATCCCTCCCAGCCTTGAGGATTAGGGGGTACAGCCTCCAGATACTGGATTACTGTTTTCTCCTTTTGGAAGTCCTAAAAGCTCTGCTGTAGACTCAGGCGCCCCAGGAAGTGGAGCTGATGGTTCAAGCAGCCTCGCCTTTCCTCCCTAGGTACCGCAGCGGGACCCGCGGCTACATGAAAGCGGTGGTGTTGGACCTCCTGCGGAGATATTTACGGGTGGAGCACCATTTCCAACAAGGCAAGAGTCCCCGCCAACACTGGTCACAAGCCCACAGGGCGGGAGGGCCCTGAGCCTTACCCCTTTGTCTCCCTCTAGCTCACTACGACAAGTGTGTGATCAACCTCAGGGAGCAGCTGAAGCCAGACATGTCCCAGGTGCTGGACTGCATCTTTTCCCACGCGCAGGTGGCCAAGAAGAACCAGCTGGTGATCATGTTGATTGTAAGCAGGGAAGGGCGCCCCGTACTCACCGTAGGAGTAACATGGGGTCCACAAACATTCTGGAAAGGGCCAGAGTATAAATATTTTAGCTTCCGCTGGTCATACAGTCTCAGTCCTTGTACAACGTAAGCAAATGGACATGGCTGTGTCCCAATGAAACTTTGTTTATAAAACCAGGCAGGGGGTGGGATTTCTCAGTCACTGTGGGAGATCATGATTAACACTCACAAAGCAACCACCATGCACCGAGCACTCCTAACATGCTTTACAAATACTAATTTAATTCTCACAGCAAGCCTAGAAGGTGCGCACTGTTCTCACTCTTTGGCAGAGCATGGAGGTGAAGTAGTCACTTTCCCAAGGGCACCCAACTTCTAAATGCAGAGCCGGGATTTGAACCCGCAGCCTGGCCCCCAGAGTCATGAGTTACTAGGGGATAATTGGATTCTGTGTCTTGTGGTAGGATTTTTATTTTCCCTTCTTGGAAAACATGGAATTTCTTTGCTCTTATTTCTCTTCCTACTAGATGATAATTAGCATCCTTTATAGCTAAAGATGTTTCTCCTTGATATGGTTCCTGATGGCTCATTTGGAAAATGTAGAATCAGCAGATAGTAAGAGAGATGTGGACTTGGCTTATAGAAAGAAGTGGCTGGCAGATTTTTTTTTTTTTGGTAAAGATAGTAAATATTTCAGTATTGAGAACCACCCCAGCCTGTGTTGCAACAACTCAGCTCTGCTGTCAGTATGAAAGAAGCCATAGATAATATATAAGTGAATGAGTGTGGCTGTTTGCCAATAAAACTTTATTTACAAAATTGGGCAGTGGGCCAGGGGCGCCTGGGTGGCTCAGTCGTTAAGCATCTGCCTTCAGCTCGGGTCGTGATCCCAGGGTCCTGGGATCGAGCCCCGCATCAGGCTCCCTGCTCCGCGGGAGGCCTGCTTCTCCCTCTCCCACTCCCCCTGCTTGTGTTCCCCCTCTCGCTGTGTCTCTCTCTCTGTCAAATAAA